GTTTGATGTGGTGTTCATAGGAGAGGGTCTGTTCAAAGACGATGCCAAGATTACTGAGGTAGGAGGAGGAGGGGACTGAGGAGCCGTCAATAAAGAGGGTGAAGTTATCGAGGGTTTTGGGGCTGATATTGATTATGCGACAAAACTGATATTGATTCAGTTTTGTCGCAGTTGAGTTGGAGAAAATTAGACTGTAGCCAGGAGGTGACTTTTTTTGTCAGTAGAAAGTGAATTGGGAACGAGTTGATGGAGCTGGAACCATACCTATGAAATAAATAAACAATCAATGCTAAATGATACCCAATCAGAGACCAAGATCAAAAATAAGATACCCAGATGATACTGCTCTGTGGTTGATACTGTCTTAGGTGGAGGACTTACTGTATACCCACCCTGAACTGGCAAAAGTGTTGTATTTGATTGATAATATCCTCCAGATTTCAGCCAAAACTTCCTGATTTCAAAAACACTGTCCAGATGATTACCTATGAAACCTTTTCTACTGCATTTCACCCATCCCAATACAACAACCTGTCAGAAAAGAAGCCATCTCTACATCTGTTATAGCTTCTTCTTTTTCAAAGTTATGCAACTTTGTGGTGGAAAGTCTGTCATATATTCCACTATATGGCATTAAAATATGGCTATTTATTTCCATGTATAGAATTTCAGGTCATGTCTATGAAGGGCCTAGGAAAGACAAGTTAAAATACTTCAAATACATTGCTCACGTCATAGTTTCAGTCTATTAATGTTATGTTCTTTTCCTTCCATTAATTAAATTTTCCCTACATTACAAAAGTCATAAAAGAAAACTCCAAATGGTGAGTTGAAAACCACTGTCAAAAATGTGAAACAGATTTGCTCACGGATCGGGAGGCTCCCCACCAGAGGCTTACCAACCATTTTTAATTTTGGGAATATTTCAGGAGAGAATAAGAGATTTGATTTTTCAGACCTTTCATCACTTTTCACAGCATCTATCTCACATGCCTTTATTCTCCGATCATTTCAAATACTTTACGGCTCTAAAAGCAGCAGCCTCCTGTCACCAAACTGACTACCCCAGACTGAGTGGGAGCGCTATCACAGATATGAGCTTGCAGTCTTCACCATCACAAATCAAGTTCTTTTCAGACTTCCCAGTTAGTGCCATTTCTAAAGCTCCAACTGCACCATTAAAAGTTAAAGTCTGATTGATTCTTCTGTCAGATTAAAATATTAACAGAGAATTACTCATCAGACTATCTTGATAAAAAGGTCCAAAAGGATGTTTTTTGGTAAGTTTGAGTGTCTACTGTTACTTTGCCTGTTATGTAACACTAGGGGTGTAATGATACATGTATTCGTGCCGAACCATTTTGATACGGGACGTTCAATTCGGTGCAGAGCAGTGCATGAGTGAGTTTGTGCAATTTGTGAGTGTTTACATTCCGCCACTACATGTGCACCTACACGGAAGGCACGACTCTTTAATATTCACAAGAGAACTCGTCCGTGATTGGGGTGGCAGTGTTTCCCGCAGCGCTTTATAGTTAGGGCAGCCACCTTGACAACAGTTGCCCTCCTCAGTGACTACGTCCCTCCGAACCATGTGAATCCTCAACTGAGGGATTCAACTGAGGGTTTTTTCACATATGTGTATCCTCACCAAAAAAAACTACGGTCGTCACGCCCCGGTCCTCAGTTTCGCCTTTCACCGGCACAGAATCTTCCCCACACCCGTGACCTCTTTCCCTAGTGAAAGGGCAACTGCCAGCAGATCTGCACTGACTGCAGACAATGTGGACAAGTTGTTTTTTCTGGCCAAAAATATGAAGATTGAGTAAAACTTCATGCTGGAACTGTTAGTGCTGCTTTTCAAAAAGTTTTATTTGTTGTTTACAAGGAATTTAATTTTTTTTTTAATATTTCATAATTTGTTTCTTATTTGAGAATATTTTATTTAATTTATTAGTCTTACCAAGAAGCACTTTGCTGTTATTTTATTTTCCCGTTTGTTTAATGTTAAAAGAAATTGTTAGTTTAATAGAAACACAAATAAACAACAAACAAATGGTTTTGCATTTTGTTCCCATACTGTACTGAAAATGAACCAAACCGTGACCTCAAAACCGAGGCACGTATTGAACCGTGATTTTTGTGTGCTGTTACACCTCTATGTAACACTTAAATATATTTATTAGATTACAAGCATTTTTACTTTCAAAATGATCTATGTTTTATATAGATTGATATCTGTCTGGTCCCCATGCCCTCCTTCACTTCTCAAACCAGAACCAAACATTATGGTGCAATAAAACTTTTTTTTTTTTTCAGTGACACATGTGAAATTAAAGCACTCAAATCAAATTTCTTTCACTTCAAATTAACAGTTTGGTGCTTTTCTCATTGATTCTGCAGAAATCTGTGATGTTTTTTTCTTCCCCATATGATGTTTTTCCCTTTTTTTTAAAAAAAACTTGTAAGCCCTGATTGGGTAATCCACCTGTCAATCATGCCCATCTGAACTCGGGGAGATTCGAGGAGATTCACCAGTGACCAGACTTGCAAAGAAAAAGACTTACTGCAAAAAAAAGCAAACAAAACTTTAGTTCAGTGGTTTTATAGACTGGCATCTGATTGTTTCAATGGCGTTTTATGTACGTCCATGGTGAGACCATCCACCAGAAAACTACACTGTTCCCATGTAATTTGAAATTATTGGAAGCAAACATTTAGTTTGCTATACAATTTAACATATTTATTTCACTCCCAATTTCAATGGTGTTTTTTCTGGGGTAGACTGACAGAAACAGGCCCGCCAATCTACCCCACTGGCCCCTCTGACCATCACCAATCACTCATGCTCACACCACATTCATACGTATATAGTTTGACTGAAGTGTCTTGCCCAAGAATACAAGAAAAGCACTATATGAAACTGTCAACCTTATGATGAAATACGAATTACTTACAGAAGATTATTTTTCTGTTAGCTTTTTGTTAGGAATAGATTTGTATTTCTTGAGCTACTGTGTCAAAGTAATTTCCTTGGTAAATCAATAACGTTTATCTCCCCAAGTCTAAGTAAACAGGTGGCCAAACAGAGACAAGTCACTTCCTTTTGGCTAAAGTGAAGTGAGACTGAAATGCTGTTACTTCCACTCAATCATTCACTGCTTGGCTCCAGTCGATCTTTGAGCCTCTCTTCCAAATTGAACCAATCTCCAGTGTCGTGAACACCACCAGCCCAGCCAGGAACCCATTTTCAGTCATGCAATAACAAATCTATATCATTTTCAGAGGATAATTTTGATCCTCTTCTTTCAGTCTGTTTTGTTTTTACTTTTTTTGTTTGTTTGTTTGTTTGTTTTTTTTAAATTTTCATGAGCAGCACTGACTGACACCCATTCACCTCAAAACACTCCCCAGGACCAATTTAAATACTGACTTGTAGAAGAAAGTTATAAATGTCAGAGAAAGTAAGGCTGTCAGACCATAACATATCATAAAAAAACTGAAAAACATTTGGGGTTTAGAAATTATATTTTAATAACTGCTTGGCTTACAGGGGATACAGGCCTATGATTTAACAAACATAACTGAATTATACAATAAGGGTTGGCAGTTAATGAATTACTGTCCAGTGTTGTCATTGTGTATCTTGACATAAGAATAACATGTCAATACAATTTGTAAACCTATTCATTTTGCAATCAATTCAACTTTGTCCAAAGGTTTGTAGCATTGTATCATGAGACACTTCTGCAAACTGCGAAACTCATAAGAGCTTTAGTTTATTTCAACCAAAAAAAAACCCAAAGCTGTATCCCTATGTTTAGTGAAATGTGTGTTTGAATTTGGGAATATCTAAAATACATTTAATACAGTGTGTAATATTTTGAATGTCATCATCTTCAATCCCTTATAACTTTAATAAAAAAAAAAAAAAAAAAAAGATCTATGAATGCTTCTTGCCATACTTTTGAATAAAAAGTGTGCTAAAGGTTTTCTGGTCCATCACCAGGGAGACAAACTGGTGACACCAGGCCAGAACTGTGGAGAGGGCCCCCACTCACAGTAAACAGTGCATTTTATTCAAATTATTTATGACAACAAAAATAGCTCTAAAATATAAGCATAAATGCAAGATAAACATCTATATTGCCATACTGTGAAAAAGTAACAATGCAAGAGATATCTCTACTGTTCCTTTTTCTACATGTAAAAACAATCAATCAAAACAATCTCAATGCAGGAGTAGTTAAGAATAATGCATAAAAAAAAATAAAAAATAAAAAAAATGCCTGTCTCAGCAAGTTCCTGAACTTTCAGAAGGTGACCATGACTGTATGACTTCCTTTACACAGCTCCATAATAGCACTGATATGCATCTCCAAATAACTGCAGTGGTCCAGAGGAACACACAAGGGCATGCCTGCTTCATGTCGGGCCGAGCCTGAAATAGAAGACAAGCCAGCAGTGAGTCAGAGCTGATAGCACAGAAACACAGACAGGCTGCTGGGCTACTGAGCTGGGAGGGAGAGAGGGAGTCCTAGGTGGGAGACAGAGAGAGAGAGAGAGAGAGAGAATGAGAGACACAGAGACAAAGAGGGCACTGACAAACTTCTATTCCTTAACCTCAGTTAGCTTACTCTTATCAGAATTATTATTTTGCAAGGTGTAAAAGACAATAAAAACATAAAACTAAATTATGATAATTGTTTTAACTGGTTTGAACTGGCCTGACCTGAACCTGTTCTGAAAATGCATTGACTTGTTTTGTGGCAAGTGGCAGGGCTGATTAAAAATGAGTCATCTAAATTGAGCCTTAGTCTCCAAAAGGGAAACACTGTCCTCTAGTGGTGGAAAGTCAGAATGTTTACCCCCATGTTTCTATATAGACTATAATGTCGCCAGCAGTTTTTTTTTTTTTTTTTTTTTTTTTTTTTTTTTTTGTTTTTTAGGATACTAAAAGACAAAGCATTCTGAATTGTAACAATGTTCATTTTAAAAGTTAGAATGTCCCTCCAGCAGTCCTCTAAAGATTAACAAGAGAAGACCTATAAGAAATTGTACATTCCATCGTATATCCCATTTGGTAAAGCGACCATCTAATGTGCAGGATGCATGTAGGCCTACAAATCCTGCACACACATCTGAGCCGGAAGTGTGGTGTTAACGTCATGACGTCACGAGCGCGTACCGCGAAAAGAGTGGGGCTTGTATTTGCAGAGGAGCTGCACATGTCAACATTGTTGGGTGAGCTCCAGATTTTCACTTATTTGTCCACTTACTCGATGTTTAAATACGCCTTATGTCTCCAGCTAAGAGCCCTATTGCACTACTTCGGAACACAGGGTCGACATAAACTTCGGAATAAAAGAGTTAGCTCCACTGAGGCCAAATCATGTTAGCTTTCTCGGCACTAGCTGGTGCATTGACTAATAAAAACTGTTCCGACTTAATAGGCAGGACTAAGTACTAAGTACTAAGTATGATGCGGTCAAATGTTACAAAATGCGCCGCTCTGCTATGTTGCATTAAAGTGGGTGACCAGTGTGCAGGTGTACTAATCACCAGTGTTGTGTATGTTCTAGCAATTACTTTAAAGTCCAATAGCTCGCTAAAGAGTGTCTTTGGATAACACATAGTAAGTAACTGGATGTTTTAGATTCTAAATTCTATTATGTGTAGTTCATCATTATGCTTTTCATGATCATTTTGTTGTTTCTACCCTGTTCATATTGCAAGATGTAATAACAGTATTTAAGGGATTGTAAAGTTTCTCATCTTCTAGTTGTGGACAGTGACAATATGACTTGACATGTAACTATAGACTTCAAAACCTTTACATTTTAAGTTTTTCTGCAAGGTGTTTATTACTTTCTGTCTTCTCTTCTCTTTTCTTGTCTTTTCTCTCACAGTTTCCCTTCAGTAAGCAGCAAACATGTCAAAAATAGACAAGATGAGCATCCTCGGGGTGCGGAGCTTTGGGATAGAGGACAAAGACAAACAAGTCATCTCTTTCTTTAGTCCTCTGACTGTGCTGGTCGGACCCAATGGAGCAGGGAAAACGGTACGGGCATTTTAGGATTAGTTCCAAAGTTAAATCTGAGGCGTGAAGATCATGGCGAGACGTCATTTTTGTTTTGATTTTTAGTTTGAGATAGTGGATATTATTGACTGCAAGTGCAAATATTACAGTTGTTCTACTTGTGCTTTCTTCTAGACAATTATTGAATGTCTAAAATATGCAACATCTGGTGAACTGCCTCCAGGGTCAAAAGGAGGTGCTTTCGTCCATGATCCAAAGGTACTGTACTTCTCGTCTCGTTGTAATTGTTTAAAAGGAATATTTATACTTTGTAAAGCAACACGAGTACTGAATAATTGGTGCTTTTAAGTGAACACTGCAGAAAACACAAACCAACTCAGAACTAGAGCTACACAAATTGTAATCTATTTATTTAAGATTGTGTGTTTTTAACATATTTAAGATTTATTTATTGTGATTTTAGACAAGTGTGTTGGATGATTTTAATTGGTTGTTTATGGAACAAACCATTCTGCACTGGAGCACTGTAACACTTTATTGTAACATTTTATCGTGTTTTTATGTGCGTTTTGTGGATGAATGAAATGTGAAATGTGGAACCTGTCTCTTAAATCTGCAAAGCAAATTTACCTAAGGGTACGAATAAAGCAACCTAACCTAACCTAACCTAACACAAAAGTATTTAAAATTGGATACTTATTGATACTAAAGCTAGTATCAAGACTATATACTCATATAAGTCCCAATGACAATTAACCTTTCCTGAATATCTTTAGAATGATTTTGAGCAGTATCAGAACAAGTGTAGAACTGCACAGACTAATTTACGCCCATGAACCACTACGGAACATACCTGGACGATTGAGGGATTACATGAATGTAAGGTCACAAGGTAATATAAAAGAAAGTACTAATGTTCAGTGTCGATAATGATATTCTATGGCAGGGGTGTCAAACATGCGGCCCGGGGGCCAGATCCAGCCCTCCAAGACCTTTAATCTGTATATAATATATATTAGAAATTGTGGCAAAATCTTGTCTTGCCTCATTCTCATGGACCATCTTGTATTATGTCCTGTCCCCTCCCTATGACTGTTCTATTGAGTGTACCCACACCAAATATTCGTTTGGACAAGTTAACACAAAGGCTTATTTGTGTTCTTGAAAGTTTCATTACAATAATTTCTATAAAGAATACATTGATTTGATGAAACATTTAAATGCATAGTGTTTACTATTACTATTTAACTCATTCAAAATCTGCTAAATGTAGCATACATCCTCCCTTTTAAGACTTTATTTTTTATTAAACCAAGGTGGTGTGTTATAGGATGCCCACGAAACGGATGTGAGAGCTCAGATTCGTCTTTTATTCACCGATGTCAACGGAGAGAAAGTGACCGTCCATCGCTCCATGTCCTGCACCCAGAAGGCCAAGAACTACTCATTTAAAAGCTTAGAACAGGTCATCACCCGAATTAAGTAAGAAGTGAAACCCAATTAAAGTGACATATTAGTCCATTAAACTCTATAATTAGTCAAAGTGTCCTTGTAACATCCATAATTTGTGTACGTTTTTTGTAGGGATGGAGAGAAGGTGAGCTTGTCGTCCAAATGTGGTGAACTGGACAGAGAAATGATTTCGGCTCTGGGTGTGTCCAAGCCTGTGTTAAACCATGTGATCTTCTGCCATCAAGAAGAGTCCAACTGGCCCCTGAGTGAGGGCAAAGCACTGAAGGACAAATTTGATTCCATCTTTGCTGCAACCAAGTAAGGCTATAGGATTTATGTTATATTGTTATCAAATGTGTGCGTTATTACTGTCTCAATGGCATAGCAAGGAGATAATATGATCAAATAAAAGCTTTATTCACAAAGAGTGGAGAACAGGGAATAACAGGTCTAGGGATGCCTCAATTCTAATACTAGAATAGAATATCAATCCAGGAAAATTTGCTGGAGTCGTTATCAGGTTCCATGATATCAGTTCAACTAATATCCTGGTTGGGACTTTTATTGGATGTAAAAAGACTGGCCAACAGTATCGTAGTTTCATAATGTTTAAACTTCTATTCATACAAAGCTGTTCAACAGTTACTTGGTAGAGAAGTCACACAATTAGAACAATTTTGTAGTAGTGTTTACTTTTTATTTATTTATTTATCATAGGACCTATATAATTGCAATTATTCATGAGAATTTTTTGCTGACATTCATCATCATCATTCTCCTTTTTTAATTGTCAGTCCAGTGTAAAGTTACTATAGTATTCTGCTACTCCAAACTTGTGGACTTGAGTTGTTCCTCTATGCCCCAGGTACATAAAGGCTCTGGAAACCATGCGTCAGCAACGTCTCAAACAAAGCCAGACGGTGAAGGAGTGCCAGGTGGAGCTGCGCTACCTGAAGCAGAACAAAGAGAAGGCTCAGCAGATCCGCGAGACTGTGGCCACCAAGGAGGCCCAGCTCATGGCCTCCAAAGACAGTGTGCAGAACATAGAGAGCCAGATCGACCCCCTGGAGGTACAATAATATGCTCTATGACTACTGCACTTTTACAGTAGTCACGTCTTTTGGGGTAAAAAAGAAAAGTATTTCAACTTTTTACCATACAGGCTGTATAATAAACTTGATGAATAACAAGTCTGATGCACAATTAAGATTCAGACTTTGTTTTAGTTAATCAGTTAGTTTTCTTTGCTGGCATCCTAAGAAAGACAATTTATCATCTTGCTAAAAATGTTAATGAATTTGACAAACTTCCCTTTCTGGTACTCTGAATGCTTAAATAAAACCGCTCTGACAATGCTGTTTACGTATAATGAGAAATAAGACACTTTTAAAATGGAGACACTACCGGTAAAAAGATTGACACTTTTTCACATATTTTTCTTCTTTATTTACATGATTATTTGCACTGTAGATTCTCAATGAAAGCATCAAAACTATGACTTACTGTTTGCATAAAAAATACAAAACAGTAATTATGATGGAGCTGACCAGTCTGCATGTCATTTAAGCCTGGCGTCTGGTCGAGCCCTAAACATCTTGGGTGACATGATGTCTGGCTCTTAATTGGCTGAATAACACATGCAACATTTTTATAATAACTGACTGTTTTTGTCCCAGAACCGCCTGATGGATATCGACATGAAGCTAGGCAAAGTGATGAAGCTGGACAATGACATTAAGGCCTTGGAAAGCAGAAAGAGGCAGATGGAGGATGACAACAGAGAGCTGGAGGAGACCATGGAGCAGGTGCCAGGGCAACGGCTCATCCATAATTTATACAAACAAAACACACATAATACATTCATTGCTTTTTCAATTGGTAGGATCATCGTGTACAAAATCAAATTAGAATTCAGAATAAAAATTGTGAAATAATCGGTAAATGTCCAAGTCTGTTAGATGGATGTACATGTAGGTAGACAAGAGAGAGAGATTTTTTATATTATATATCAAGTACCCATAAGGCTAACCAAAAGAATATTTTTTTTAAAGGTAACACATTAGATCACTTTTTGTATTTTTAGAAAATTTGAAAACAATTTTGTCATGCGTCATAGGCTATGTTCAGACCCAACGTGCCAAGTGACCCAAATCAGATTTTTTTCACCCCTATGAGACCTGTATCGATCTTTTAATGATGTAGTATTTAAATGGCCAAGGGGGGGGGGTCCATCACCTGCTTGTCTACATTCTATGTTCCATATTACACCTTTAAATGAGGAAAAAGTTACTTTTTACCACTTCTATCTGGTTAAAATGTGTTGTGTAGAAAGACAAATGAGCAGACACATTGAAATGAAGATGTTCTACTTTGTTTGTCTAAGCAGCTGCCTAATGGGCCACCAGACTCCCCTCTGTTCTATGTGCCTGTGCCTTCCATGGCAGACTGGTAGACTCCACAGATGGTGAATGAGTGTTGTAACTTGGAGGTGACAAGCCTGTTCATCATGCGGCTGTACTCAGATCAGTTTTATTTTTACGAGAGCAGGATGTTTGTTTTCGCTGCTTAAGACAACTCCGAAAACCCCCTCTGCTCCATCTGTGTGTTTGTAGTGAAGGAGTTTGAAATGGGGAATATAATTTGTAACTCATCAGTACCTAGTTAGTACAAAGATGACTACGAAACTAAAATTAACAAAAACAAAATAACTTAAGTGTGTTGCTTTTCTAGATGTGGCAAAACAAATTCACTGTTAAGGCTTTCATTAATAGACTGTAATGTTTTGATGTAATGACAAAACGATGACATGACCTCAAATTATTTTGGTATCAAAGTTGTCTTGCTCTAACTTACAAGACTCTTAAATTTGATTTACAAATGTTTCACTTTGTTTGCTTTAAGATATTTACTCTGCAGAATAACACCTAGACTCTGTGGTTAAAATCAAAACTGTGCTCACAAAAATCTGATTCTTCTTTTATCTCTGGACCTTTAAGGTGATTTAAAAGAAATGAAAACCACAAAACATGTTGTGAGTAATTAGAGGGACCAGGATATGAAAGAAATCCAGTGTTTTTGCTTTTAATAGTCTAATTCCCAAAATCTCATCATAATCAAGTTTTGAGTTTGCATGTAACAGCAGCCAGTCTAAATGCACAGCTCCTGGTTGTTTAATCCTTACATATATCATAACATTAACATGTAACATTAATATCTCACTGATACTTATACTTAAAGCTCTACACACTGACCCTTTACAACCACTGTGCACTGTTCCAGGTTTTCCAAGGCTCAGATGAGCAGCTGCAGGACCTGTACCAGAACCACCAGAAGACAGTGAAGGAGAAGGAGCGCAGGCTGACCGAGTGCCAGAGAGATCTGGAGAGAGCAGGCCGCGAGTGTCAGAGGCTCAACCGGGTCAAAGCTGACCTGCTGGTGGAGCAAGGTACAACCACAGCAAACATATTTATACCTCCTATTTTTAATAACTTTGATCAAATATGGAAGAACATGAGCCACAGCTATTCACATTTTATTTCAATGTCACTCCCTACTCTTCACTCCATTGTGATGATACCCTGTCCTGTCTAATAACCTGATGGGGAAAAAAAACACAGCATTCTCACTGTAAGAGTCTATAGAGCCATCTTGTAGAATTCTCAAATTAAATCAATTAGTATAGTACCAAATTGCAACAGCAATGTCACTGATGTATTGGAAGGTGCTGATAATTTCATATATAATGTAACAAACACACACTATATGTGTTATATTCCAGGTCGTCTCCAGCTCGAGGCTGACCGTCATTCTCAGAACATAAAAAATCGTGACTCCCAGGTAAAAGAAGAGCAAAGAGCTGGAAATAGACAATTTCGTATTACAATTAAAAAGAGCTATATATAAAGATGATTTTTATTTCATGTGACACTGGTTTGTGCAGGTTCGCTCTCTCTCCTCTTTTCTGGAACTGGAGGGATACGACCGGACCCCGTTCACTAAACTACAGCTGGAGAGTTTCCATCGTCAGGTTTCTCAGAGACTGGAGCAGGAGAAAGAGACACTTAGTAAAAGTCTGGTATGAGAAGTGACTAAATATGGTTTGTTTTTGTATGTTCCATTTCACATATTTTTTCTTCTTTCCATTTTTATTTTGTATAATCATTTTGTGTTCAGATTGTGTTATTCACATTCCACAACATGATGCACAGCTGCCACCATCTGTATCTCACATTAGACAGTGAAGTACAAAGGGATGTGCAGAGGAGAACCTAGTATTATATATAGGCTCACTATCTTTACCTTGGTGTGTGACCTATACACTGCCATGAAAAATTTCAATTTAGTTTCACTTCATGAGTGCGTTATTTGTGTTCAATAAATGTAGGACACTTCAAATAAATTAGTAATTAATTGGTGGGTGATTAAACATGAATATCTGTGTAATATGCATGCAAGTGTATGATGAAATTAGGACAACTCATTAATATGCATGAAAACATGAGCGCATTTGCAGCTTGTTCATGGGTCATTCACTCGTCCAGCAAGGGCAAAAGGAGCTCTTATAATTATGACCTGCTGCAAACTAAAGGGGCTGGATTCTTGGTGTGAGGCAAAGACAACAGTCACACCCAGTCCTGTCCTAGTGTCCTCATGCTGGCCTTGTGCTGTCGCTGAAATGTGTTTGTGAGTGAGAGAGGAGCTGTGCCATATTGTACAAACACATTTAATCAATCACAAAGTGATATTTACCCTGAGGAGGAAATCAGGGCCCCGTATTGTTGTAACTATATGTAGACTGACCAAAAGACAAGAATGATAAAGTCACTGCTGCAGGACCCTACACAACTTGTGTAGTCTGTATAGGAAGACTTGTTGCTGTCTGTGTTTGTGTGTTGGAGGAAATACATATATGTCACTGTCTCTATAATATCTATAATCCTATTAAATTCTGTGTTGTGATTTGTTAAATTTTTTGTTTAGGCTGATCTCCAGGAGAAGGCGCATCAGAAGCAGCATTCCATCGATGAAATGCGTGATAAAAAGGCAGGTCTGGAGAGGACCGTGGAGCTGAAGAGGGACCTGCAGACCAAGAAGCAGCAGGAGCTCAAGAACGTGAAGACCGAACTGCAGAGACTGGAGGGCTCATCCAGTCGCCTGCAAGAGCTGGAGACCGAACTGGCCAAAGCCGTGAGTACTACAGAATATTATACTAACGGGTCATTAAATAATCATGTTTAGTTTAGTTTAGTTGGTATGTAATTTCAGGGGCTCTTTACATTGACTCTTTACATTGACGCCAGAAAATGGATCTCAGATAATAGTGTTTGAAATCATCATGGGGCTTTCAGTAAGAAGAAACCGTTTTGAGTTAAGTGCCTTTAAAAGTTCAAACTCTGCTGTAGATTAAAAAGCTTCAAGGTTATCTTTTAAATTTTGAAGCAATTGGATCTCAAGATTTAGTCCCTTTATATACATTTCTCTTTTTTACCTTTTAATTTTCAGACTGTTTAACTGTTTAATCATATAATCAATAATTAACCGAATGGTTTATTTCTCAATAGTAATAAAAGTTGCATTTTGTCTGTAGGGGTGTGAACTACAGGGCAAATAGACCACATGTAGTAAAACAGACACTAATTTTGGAGCAATAAATTGTAATCATGATTTAAGTCTGGTTATTTGCATAGCCGTTTGGGTTGGAACAAGAGTAAACTGCATTGAAAGGTGTCTTTTATTTCCCTGTTGTCTTTAGGAGCGTGAGTTACAGACCACCCTGCAGAACTCCAACGTGGACGAGTTGAAGGCAGAGGTTTTGGATCTTCAGAGGGAAAAGGCGGAGCTGGACCGGACCCAGAGACAACTGGATCAGGAGATGGAGATTCTGAACACTCATACCACTGCACGCACTCAGATGGACATGCTCAAGAAGGACAAGGTAACGTGTGTGTGATCTACTGTAGGGACACTAGAGGTCAGTCATGCTACACCAGGATTGAACATTCCATCAAAAACATACCTAGAGTTTGTTTCATTCACACATATTTAACACAAAAACCCTGCATATTTAGGCTGAGTTTTTCTCACAGAAAATTCTGTTTTACCTTGTGATGTAATTTGGTAATACAGGAAGGTCCACTGCTATGCTTTTAAACTCCATTCACTAGAACCATTTGGATGATTTCAGCTCTTGCCAAACTGAACTAATGCTAAAAAGTAATTCTTAACTTGAAAACTACCACTACATGACTTCACTAAGTAGAACAGGGCATTTCGAGCTTTGGAGATGTAGACAGTGTATTAATGCAGGATTACTCAAAACACTAAATATGTTTTTGATGAGAGTACCACATTATAACATGGCTTAAAGTTCACAAAAATCTATTTTTTGTAATATATTGTTAAATGTTTGCATCAACAAAAAAACAACACACACTTACACATATATTCATTCAGCTGTCGTATTTTGCTTAGCTGTCATTCCAGGGGCAAAACAACATTGGAACTACCTTTGAATGCAATTACATTTTACTCATCCAGTCAAGGCTTTGAATAAAACAATCAGAGAAACAACTCTTTCAACTGTGCATTGTTTTAATAGATTTTGCAGGAATAATTTCATTAGATTAGAAAATAGAAAGCATTTAAGTTGACTGCTTTCACATCTTCTATATCTCTTCGTCTTGTTAGACTGATAAAGAGGAGCAGGTCAGAAAAATCAAATCTCGTCACAGTGAAGATTTGGTGTCGCTGCTCGGACACTTCCCAAACAAGAGAGAGCTGGAGGACTGGATCTACAGCAAGTCCAAGGAGATCAACAGCACCAGGGACCGGCTGGCCAAACTCAAGTCAGTCAGCCAATATATTCAATGCCCTTTATCTTGCAGTAGAATACGATTGTATCTTTGCCCTACAATGATAAAGCAGATATTTGTGGAAAAAAGAGACCTATGTTCTCGGTCTGCTTCAAATTATAAAACATTTGAATTGACCGCTAACATGGATGAGACAATGCAGCTACCTGACAGTTGTGAAATACACATGAAAAGCTGGATTGCCCATATTACACTATTTTCTTATCACTCAGAATGTTTATTTCTTCATCACAAACATAGCTGGATTTGTGTTTTGTTTCATTTGCACATGTTTAACACACATAATCTGCATATTTAGGCTGCGTTCATCTCTCAAACATTGTTCCACTTTATGATGTCATGTGATACTACAGGAAGTGATCCACTGTGTTTTTAAACTCCATACACCTTCACTAGAATTGCCAGTCTCCACTAAACAAAATGTAAAAAAGTAGCTGTTACTTGAAAACTACAGCTTCATGACATCACAAGGTGGAACAGAGCATTTTGAGTTGTGGGGATGTGGAGAAACTTATAGTAAAGGGTTACTCAAACATTTGTGAATGAAAGAAACACAACTCTGGATATGTTTTTGAGGAGGTAACAACATTCTAACATGACTTGAAGCTCACAACAGTAAATTTTGAGTCATGTAGGACCTTCATTGTACTACATGAGATAAAGCCCTGGCTAACAATGTAAAAACTTGACTAGCTCTCGCAATTTAAGAAGTGTAAGAAATCCCAGGCTAGTCACTTTAAGATGATTTGGTGTTTGATGCCTTGGCTTTGTGGTGGTTGTTTGCAGTAAGGACTTGGCATCGAGTGAGCAGAACAAGAGCCACATTGGGGCTGAGCTGCGTAAAAAGGAGCAGCAACTAACCAGTGACCAGGAGAAGTTTTTTGAAGTGTGTGGGAGTCAGGACCTGGAGTCTGACCTGAGCAAAGTTCAGGACGATCTGGAGAAGATCTCAAAACAAAGAGGTACAAGAAGATGCATTTAACTCTCAGTAATCTGGGCAACTCCAATATAACAATCTCTTTATTATTATTTTTTATTTTTTTCCAAAATGCAGTTAATTTGCATTTTGAATAGAAGTAATTTATTACCATTTTCACAAGAATAACATGTTTTTACAGTGAAGGGAATTATATGCAGAATTATGTAATTTTTCTAGGAGTCATTTTATTTCTACTCATTGTAAATATGGCATTTTACCTTGTTCTGTCAAAAGAAACAATTTGTGTTTGTACTTTGCCATTATTGTCTAGACCCAATGCCTATATTCTCTATACAACACAACAATATTTATTTTACCTGCCTCCCATCTGTATTAACTAATATTGGCCTATAGAATGTTGTTATGTCATTTGAAACCCAGTAATATAAATAAGGATGTAAAATAAGTTCCAATTGTTAATCAGACTTATTAGTACACCATTTATTCTCTCTATCTTTCTCTATTTTGTATTTTGTCTTTGTGTAGCCATGTTAGCTGGAGCCACGGCAGTGTATACCCAGTTCATCAGTCAGCTCACAGAGGAGCGAGAGCCGTGCTGCCCTGTGTGCCAGCGCACCTTCCCCTCCGAGTCCGACCTCCAGGAAGTGATCAGCGACATGCAGTCCAAGCTCCGGCTGGTCCCCGACAAACTCAAAAACACAGAGCAGGATCTGAAGAGGAAGGAGAGGAAGAAGGAGGAGATGATGTCTCTCAGACCTGTCAGGTACAAAACACAACCATCTCTGGAGTATTTCAAGGCTTTACAATGTACAATATTACAAACAGGGTTCATTTTAACATAAGTAAAGTAGTAATTAAAAACATTATGCAAATATATTTTAAGATAATCATATTTATTTGGAGGTTATTAACAAAAATACTATTTAAATGAATGCTTAGCTAGAGCTGAATAGCCTTTATGTACTACTCCTGATACTTTCAAGTCTGTTCTACTACAGAGGTTAAGTTCTTGTAGTGTTGCTAAGAATATTTATACACATTAAAGGTAAAACAGGTGAAGATACTGTTTTTAGACAGTGCTTTTACATAAGCTATAAGCTGTAAAGAACGTTTTGTCCAGTAGATGGATTTAGATTTCTATTAATAATGCTGTCATATACTGCAGTAAATAAAAATGTGTTCCAAAAGTAAAAAATAATAGGTTAATTAGATGGCCTTCTTGATACCTCTAGGGAGTCAATAGCTCGCCTGCAGGAGAAGGAGCTGCCGGAGCTGAGGAACAGGTTGCAGGCGGTGAACAGGGACATCGAGCGGCTAAAGGGGGAAGTGGAGACTCAGGAGACACTGCTCGGGACTCTCATGTCTGAGGAGGAGACCGCCAAAGTCTGTCTGCAGGACATCTCCCTCATGGACAGATACCTGGTACTGACCTCTGCTCTCACCTAAGTAACAGACAGATGGACCAAGGATATTTAAGACCACTCAATACAGTAACCCCAACTTCCTGGATAACCCTTTTCAAAGTAAACATAACTATTTCTTATTCCACTGTGAAACACTTATGTAATTTGTTGAAATGAAAGGTGCTTACAATAAAATTGTATAGTATTTTATTCAAAATTAAGTTATTATACACGCACACACAAAAACAAAAATATAATATGTATGTATGTCCTACAAATTTTTAATTAAATATTTTTTGTCCTGTTTAGATGGACCTCAAAGAAGTTGAGAGGAAAATAGCGCAACAGGCAACTAAACTGCAGGGAGTGGACCTGACCAGGACCATTCAACAAGTCAGTCAGGAGAAACAGGAGACGCAGCACAAACTAGACACCAGTAAGACCATTTCGCATTAAGCACAACACACTGATGTAGAGCTGATGTACATCAGGTCAAAACACACTGCAGGACAGCAAGGTTCTAACGCAACCTGAGGGGTGATTTAAATGGGTGCTTTATCTGAAGACCACTGACAAAATTAGGTGAAATCAGCCAAGGCATTGCGTTCAAATCCATATTCCAATTTTCCCAAATACAGACGCATGAAAATAATAGATTTTTTGCTGCTTAGGCCTTAATATTGGCCACACGTCTTTAAGATGTTCAACTCTCTGATGTTTATGTCTGTAGCCTCCAGTAAGATGGATCTGAAACGTAAACTGATCCAGGACCAGCAGGAAGAGATCCAGAGGCTGAAGAGCTCCGTGAATGAGACCAGAGCCGAGAAGCTGCAGCTCAGCAGTGACATGCAGAGGCAGCAGCAGCTAGAGGAGCAGTGTGTGGAGTTCACTGCTGACATCAAGGCTCTCAGCAGAGACATCACGGTACTGTCACACTATGTAGACAGGTCATGTACCAGTTAAAATAAGGAAATGTCTGACCACCCTTTTAAAGTTAAAAATTCTAAGTATGACTAGATATTGAAATACTTCAGTCAGCTGAGTACAGTTATTCAAATTACAGTTTTCTCTGTATTATTCAGAGGTTTTCTCTACAATTTATATAGTGTAGTTTGTTGTGTAATCCACAAAACAATACGTTGAAGTCTGGGATTTAAGAGTTGACAGTGTACAAAACTTGACCTGGACCGTAAAAAATATAAATACATATAACGACTAAGTTTATAACACGTTACCAGTGAGTTTGTATTAAATATGTGACCTCTGACCTTTATTCCCTCAGGACGCCAAAGAGCAGCTGTCTCCTCTGTCGGCAGCACTGGACAAATTGCAACAGGAGAAACAGGAGATTTTGGAGCATAACAGGCAGAAACAGGAGGAGGGCCAAGAGAAGGTGAAGGAAAAACCAAAAATCAAAAAAATTACAAAATTAAAATGTTCTGAAAAGTTGTTTCTAGTTTTGATATAATGTTTGGATGTTTTTGAATTTAGTTAAATGCCATTAAAGAGAGAGTGAAAGTTGTCAACACATTGGAGCGGGAGATCAGCAAATATACAGAAGAGGGAAAAAATGAATACAAAGAGGTTTGCTTTTGCCACAATAAATTTTTGTTAGCAATACATGTTTGTTGTGTATGGACATACATGTTTTTATTATATAGTGTTATTTATCAGAAAACTGTGTACCACAGCAAAAAGAATCAGAGCTTCAAGAAACCAGCCAACAGCTTCATGAAGCAGACAAACAGAAAGAGAAAATCAATAAGGACATTGGCAACATCCGACAGGACATAGATACTCAAAAGGTATTAAAGCATTGACTTGTTTACATATTGCTGAGTAAATGTTGAACACTGAATGACACTCTTTCTTATGTGATCAGGTGCAGGAGCGCTGGCTGCAGGACAACCTCACCCTGAGAAAGCGAGTTGAGGAGCTGAAGGAGGTTGAGGCCAAACGAGAGGTTCTGCTCAAAGACATGGGCAACATGCAGGTTCTGCAGCTCAGACAGTAAGAAACACGTCACTAGACACATGCTGTTACTATGTTGACCATAATAATATCATCTTTTTGTTTTGATTTTTAGAGAGCGTCGTGATCTAGAGCGAAAACTGGAGGACCTGAAGAAGAACCGCAGTATTGCTCTGGGTCGTCAGAAAGGATTTGAGGAGGAGATACTACACTATAGGTTATTATGTTTGTCAGTTTTGAGAAATGAGCATATGTAAGGTGCCTTTAAAAGTATCCTTTAAATATCTGACTCTGTAGAGGAAACCACTTATAAGTTATAATTTGGTATATTGGATCTCAAGACCAATTCATTTGGAAAGAATAAATTAACCTCATATTGAAATTAGTTTGTTAATTAAGTTGTCATTTTCAGTGCTCAAATCCAAATTAGGTTTAAACCTAAAATTATTTTTAGATTTAAACAGCTCTGAATCCTCACTACCTAAAACCTGCCATCTGCAGCCAGTCGTCAGTGCTAGTGCAGCCTCTGCAGTTCAGTGAGTGATATGAAGCATGGCCTGTGCATATACTGTGAATGAGAAAAAAAAAAGTGTCCCCTGTTTGCAGGTTACAACACTTGCAACCCATGTTCAGTTCAAATTATAGCATATTGTTAAAAAATGCACAGCTGCTTTACATTTCTTTTAAAGACACAATTTTAAAGACTTCCAAACATTCAAAATGTGTAATATGGGGCGGCAGTAGCTCAGTTGGTAGAGCATTCGGCCACTGATCTACAGGTTGGCTGGTGTAATTCCAGCTCCCACAGATGAATGCTGTCTTTGTGTCCTTGGGCAAGACACTTAACCCACCTTGCCCACAGTGTCTGCGTACACTGGTGTGTGAATGGGTTCCTTGTTGTAAAGTGCTTTGAGTGCCTTGAAGGTGGAAAAGCGCTATAGAAAAATGTGACCATTTACCATATATATTTACGTTGCAGAAATAATCCAAAGTTTTTTAAACCCATCTAAAACCCATGAATAATGTAGTTATTGAGTTTTATATGCAGTAAGTGCATTTGTTAAGGTGTATTACAACTTCAACAGCCATTCTCTCTGAATAAATACATTACTCTATACTACAAATTTGAAATGCATTTAATGTAAATGCCAATGTCTTGTCACAGGAAAGAGCTGCGTGAGGACCAGTATGACAAAGCTGAAGAGCGCTACAAAAACAAGATGATCGTGATGAGGACCACTGAGCTTGTCATCAAAGACCTGGACTTGTACTACAAGGCCCTCGACCAGTAAGTATCTACCATTCAAATATATCAACATTTATCAAAACAACATCAAATAGCGGCATGCGGCATTTGTTTTATTAGGAGTCAGTCCATATGAAATCATTCACCCTCCTCTATAAGCCATCTCAGATTTGGCTGAAAAAAAAAAAAATCTAAAATGACCAAATTAAACAATCTAAAATTTTAGCTCAATCCCTTGAGTCGTTCCTGAGTTATGGCCCATTGAAATTTTGGGGCCATGCTCACGTTTTCTGAAGCCTTAATTTATAAGCATGTTTGAGAGACCATAACTTCATAAAACATAGAGCTAGGAAGCTGAGAATTTGTATTAATGTAGATTCTTGGTTATAGATTCTGAATCTGTTGTCAGATATGGAGTATCTTTATTAAGGGGGATGCTGTCTCACATCGCTCAATTTTTTTTTTTTTTCAATTTTTGACATCCAAAATCTATTTAATCCAAGCAGATATTTACAAACTAACTGTAGAATATTTACTGTAGAGTATTTGAGAGAATTACCATTTCTGACAACAATCTCACATGTTTCATAGCTTTCATGTGGATGGTGTAGAGTCCCAAATATGGTCACAGACCAAATGTGATCTTTTTGGCCCGTTCTTTGGAGCCTCAGTTCCCCATGTGGGCACACTTAGATGTTAATAAAAAAATACCAGAGAAACTTTGGCATATTCTGATTAGTCTAAAGTTATAAGCGGCAGTAGCTCAGTTGGTAGAGCATTCGCCCACTGATCTGAAGGTTGGCGGTTCGAATCCAGCTCTCGACATAAAAAACATCACAGGTTGAGCAGTCAGATCCACTGACCCACAGGTTGGCTGGTGTGATTCCAGCTCCCACAGATGAATGCTGCTGTTGTGTCCTTGGGCAAGACACTTTCTCACAGTGTCTGCGTACACTGGTGTGTGAATGTGTGTGTGAATGTAAAGCGCTTTGAGTGCCTTGAAGGTGGAAAAGCGCTATAGAAAAATGTGACTAACTTCCTTCATTTCAAATGGATTTTTTGAAAATGAGCTCTCATGGGTAATTTTTGGTGGAGCTTAGGTACTTTTCCACCTGTTGGTGGAAGACAATTGGAGATTATTTGTGGCTACATTGCTTGCAAAATTATGAAAAACTGAGGGTCCAAAGAAGGGGTCAAAAAGATCACATTTGGTCTGTGACCATATTCCGGACTCTACACCATCCACATGAAAGCTCAGAAAAGTGTGAGATTTCTGTCAGAAATGTTCATTCTCTCAAATATTCAGGTTCAACAGTTAGTTAACAGTTAGTGTAAATATCTGCTTGAAGTAAATAGATCTTGGACCTAAAAAATTGAAAAAAAAAAAATATATATATATAGCGATGTGAGATTTTGGGGGCCCACAGCATCCCCCATAATAAAGATACTCAATATTTAACAACAGATTCAGAATCTATGACCAAGAATCTACATTAATACAAATTCTCAGCTTCCTAGCTCTATTTTTATGAAACATGCTTATAAATTAAAGCTTCCGGAAAAAATGAGCATGGCCCCAAAATTTCAACTGGCCATAACTCAGGAATGACTCAAGGGATTGAGCTAAAATTTTAGATTGTTTCATTTGGTGATTTTTGAAACTTTTTGAATTTTTTTCAGCCAAATCTTAGATGGCTCGTAGGGGAGATGCCTTGAAAACTGCTGATTTCATATGGACTGACCCGTACTCAAATAGTTAAAGACTAATAAATTGACTGGGGAAATCATACTCTTCTTCAGTGACACAAACTGAAAAAGATGAAAGATTTTGGTGCTAAACCACAAAGACATGACGCAACTTCCTCATTTTTTACTGTCATGACCCCTGCATTACGCACATTCAAACCATTGTTAGGAGTTATGTGATTTATTTTGGTAATACACTGATGAAGGGGAAATCCAAACTTTTAACATAGCTTATTGTTCATGTTAGACAGTGCTGAAGGGTTTACAGCTGATCCTAAGTCTTTAAAGATGCAAAAGGATCATGTTTGGTATTATAATTATGAACGCCTTAGTCTGAGCTCACATAGCACATTGTGCTGTACAGTGCCAATTGGGCTCCTGATTCTCTCCACTGGGAGTCTTTTTTTTTTGCTGGACACGGGAGATGACTGAAGCCTTGTCCCTTAATAAATGAGTAGTGATTGTGTGAATACGTGATCTCGCACTCGCAGCTTCAAAGGTGCTGACTACAACAGCACAGCAGAGCACCGCTCTGTGTGTCACACCAGAGGCACTGTGTTCCTGATGCAGTCTGAGTGAGACTCTTGCTCTATATGTCCTATTTGTGTCCTACTTCGCACTTACCCTAATAAATGGGTTTGTTTTTACATATAATTTCACACATTCAGGTCTTAAGATATTGTAGAAAATTGGTATATCAGCAGAATCATTTATGACATAAGTCAGTCTACCAGATGTGTTCCATATGACAAAAAAGACAACAGCCAACAACAGAACAAACAAACAAAACAAAACTGTCACTAAAAGTATGTAGTTTGAAGACTTAGATGTTGGAGAAAGAATTTTAACTGGTTTTGTCATTAAATGGTTGCATTGTTATTGAAATACAACTTTGTCTCTTGAAGTTAGAGGGTAATGCCAATGACTGCTGACTGCTGATGACGCTAATGGTTTAGTGCTGTTGAGGAAGTCTTTCCTTTGTGGTGGTGGCCCCTTAAACAGCATCACTTGTTGGTTGGGTGTAAATTTACTCTTAAACATGACTCAATTAGAAAAAAAAAATATTAACTAATGAGTTTATGTAATACCTACAATAATTATGTTTGCCATATTGAAAATATAAATGTACAGTTCATAGTGAAATGGTGACAAAAATGGAAAACAAATTCTGCATATGTCCTCTTTTTGTAGGTCTATGTTTATATGTATATTATAACCTAATCTAATCCATGTCCTGCAGTGAACTTTATATGGTAATGAAAGGAAGAGGCCTCAAGATCTGTTTGAAATAGCTTCGTCCTGCCAACTTTGTGCCTACCTCACCTTTTCAGTTTCAGTCATTCTTTTTGATCATTTTGCAGAAAGTTGAAATGAACTCTCACTGCATTAATTGTAAAAGGCAGCACTCATAAGGAGTAGTTATACTTTCTCTTTATTATTTACTATGAATTGTGTCATAACCAGCCTTCATATTTAGGTTATTGTGTCAAAGTGCAGATCATGCTTTCCATCAGAGGTTTGGTGGTTTAATACACTGCAGTTAATTTTCTTATTGAGCAAGACACCTCACCCAACCTCTGGCATTTCATTTTTTTAATGTTTATTTTATTTTTAGTGTTCTGCAGCACATGTCAATTGAACATTAATTAACATTGCTGCTCCAGAAATTGCCAAATGTTATTTTGCATCTGTTGTAATAATTTCTCAATTTCAACTATCCCAACCAAGGACAATGCAAGCTGCATGCAAAAAAATTATTTAATCATTAAAATAAACAGATGCCTGTATTCTTACATGACTTAACATTTAATGCTATGTGACAAATGCCATATATGCTATATACGTTTGCAAAGAGCAAGACTGTGCATTGCTTCATAGTGCAATCTGTGAACCCCAGCCTGGTGTCATTTGCAGTCATGGAGGACCTACAGATAAGGCTCTGTTGAAGTCTTCGGTAATGTTATCTAAACCACAAGCTTTCTGTTTAATTTCCTCTGTGATAACTGAACCGTTTCTAGGTATTGCCAAAAACATGGCATGTTTATCTGTTTGATCAATGAAGAGCAATGTCACAGATTAGTCATCACTTTATGTTTAGTTGTTATTATCCAATATTTTATTATTTCTCCAAATTAAGATCACTGACAGAGTGTAAAATTTTTTTGCCCATAATTCTAAAATTGCTTTTTGACTATCTATCCACAATAAAACAGATGCTCTGGCATCACTTTTTCTAAATATTTTACACACTTTAAAATCAGCCATTTTTCTTGCTTGGCAAATCCAGTTTTTTTTTTCAGTGACATGAAACAAAGGAGTTCATTGATCACCAATCATTTATTCACAAAATCAAATGTATCTCATGATTACTTCAGATTTACATAGTTTAGTGCTTCGCTCATTGATTCTGCAACATTTTTTAGCCCCCTGTGATATTTTCCAATACGGACAGACCAAGCATGTCCTTGAAGCCGCCTGTCAATCACACCCAACAGGGAGATTCATTGATCAGACTCACATCTTCATAAAGTATTGTTAAAGTATTATTATCATTAAGTGTGTATTCTGGATCATTCTCCTTATATTTATGTTAGGACGTATGTAACATAACATACATTGTTAAGTTATGTCTGTCTGTATGTTAATGCTGTTGATCCCTGCTCCGAGCCACATGTCTTTATGAGGAGACAAAATAAAAGAAAACCTAAACTGCACTAGTAATGTTTAGAATTTGCTACTTCCAGATCATAAACATTCACTGAGGGATTTTTGTTTTTGTTGATGTAAACTAATGATACTGAGATTTATTTAGTTAAAACTCGGTCATCTAGATCACTGGGTATATGACAGTAAGAACTATTGGTCTTTAACTGTTTTTTCTTGTAATTTGTCAGGACAATCATGAAGTTTCACAGCATGAAGATGGATGAGATCAATAAGATCATCAGGGACCTGTGGCGCAGCACATACAGGGGCCAAGGTGCGCTTTTCTAAATGTCCAAAATTCCTTATTGCATGAAATTGTATATGTTTATTTTCTTCTATATAGACATTGAATATGTGGAGATCCGGTCTGATGTGGATGAGAACTCCTCTGCTGGAGTCAAGCGCAGAGTTTACAATTACAGAGTAGTGATGGTGAAAGGAGACACGGCTTTGGACATGAGGGGGCGCTGCAGTGCTGGTCAGAAGGTATTGTCTATTGTTAGTTTTTGCACTGTCATCACAACAAAGTGCAGTGTTGTCAGACCTTGCTGATGACCCTGCCTGTAGATAACTGCAGTTCAGTGCAGTGGTAGTGTGTTGTTGTTTTTTTTTTGTTTTTTTTCCCATTTGTACCAAAATAACTCTTCAAATGGGATTTTGCATAATATGTTTCCTTTAAATCCCTGTGGAGGTGCTGGCGTCGCTGATCATCCGTCTGGCTCTGGCTGAGACCTTCTGCCTGAACTGTGGCATTCTGGCCCTGGATGAACCCACCACAAACCTGGATCGAGAGAACATAGAATCCCTGGCCCACGCACTTGTCGAGTCTGTATAATTTTTATACCTAAAGATAGGCTTAGAAATGCCAGACATAATATGTGAGCATATCAGAGGTTTAACATGAAGGCGTTTTGTGCAAATAGACTGTCTACAATGGACTTATTTGTTTAGAAAAAATATAAATTAATCCACTAAAATAGTCCATGTAACCGCTAGAGTTGGAAGAGGAAAAATGTTCATGCAGCCAGGCCATCAAAGGACATTTAAAATGGATAGACTTGTTTCAGATGGTTTAAGGTTAGTGAATGTTTCAAAATCCGGCATATGGACATATGGAATTATGTATATCAAGAAATGATGAGTGCAAAGCAGTGATCAAAGCAAAGATGGTTTTGTTTGTTTGTTTGTTTGTTTTTGCTACATTGTGAATATCATGGATAAGTTCAATATTTTTTGTCACTTTTTTGTCACTACCATGACCCCCCAATATTATTTCAGAAAGTCAAACCCATGTATTATATAGACTTGTTACGCATAGAGTGAAGTCAAGTCTTTATTTCTTAACATTGTGATGATTATGGATTACAGATCATGAAAACACGAAATTCTGTGTCTCCGAAAATTAGAATAGTGATAAATTGTTCAATAAGGCATGGGAAGGCATCTTGTCTCACCTATCTAATCAGCTTATTAATTGAAAATACCAGCAAATTCCTAAGCCTGTAAAGGTCTCTTGGTCTGTGTTATTAGGTTATTTTTTTTCAGACCAAGAGTTTGTTTTCATACCTGACAGTTTCGACTGCTCACTAGTGGTCTTCCTCAGAGTGGTCATGTGATGTTGCTGTGTCTGATCAGGTGATTTATACAGGTTTTGGCACTGTCAGGTATGAAGACGAGCTCTTGGTCTGAAAAAAGAACCTAATAACAAATTATTGGAAGACCAAATCAACCTCATTGGACTATTATGTCTCTCTGTCTGGCTCAGGGGGGCCATACAATCATGGGGAAGGCTGCTGACTTGACAGATTTGAGTCAAGACAGTCAAGAGTCACTACGGCCCCATATAGAGTCACTACGTCTATATGGGGCCTGAAACAATGTCAGAAGAGTCTTACCAAGGCTGTGGAGAAAAAGAACTGGACTGTTGCTCAGTGGTCCAAAGTCCTCTTTACAGATGAGAGTACATTTTGCATATCTTTTAGATATCAAGGTCCCAGAGTCTGGAGGAAGAGTGGAGAGACAAAGAATCGATGTTGCGTGACGTTCATTGTGAAGTTTCCACAGTCAGTGATTATTTGGGCTGCCGTGTCATCTGCTGGTGCTGGCCCACTGTGTTTTCTGAAATCCTCAGTCAACTTAGCGATCTACCAGGATATTTTGGAGCACATTATGTTTCCTTCTGCTGCAAGCTTTATGGAGAGGCTGATATTCATTTTCCAGCAATTTTCTGCCTACACAGCCAAAGGTACCAAAAGACCATGGTGTTACTGTGCTTTTTTGATTCACCTGCAAACTGGCCTTACCTGAACCTCATAGACAATCTCTGAGGTACTGGCAAGAGGAAGATGAGACACCAGGACCAACTAAGTATTGAGTGCATGGAAATTAACGTACTTTTCAGAAGCCTGACATTTCAGGTTTATTGATCTTATGTAATAGTAACATTTCCTAAGACACAGAATTTCGGGTTTTCATGAAGTCAAGCCATAATCATCAAAATGTCAAGAAATAAAGACTTGGGAGCTTCACTCTATGTGCCATGAGTTCTATAAAATATATGGGCTTGACTTTCTGAAATAAGTAACAAAAAATATTGAACTTTTTCATGATATTCTAATCTTTTATATATTGGTATGTCTTTAAATGTCCGTTCATTGTTTTGATGCCTTCATTGTGAATCTACAATATAAATAATCATGGAAATAAGTAACAAAGAAAAATAAATGAAAAAGTGGTAGTGTAAGAATTCACATGAAATACACATAAAAAATATGAAAAATACAGCAAAGATTTGTCCAGTACAGATTTAATTTAATTTTTTTCATATTTTTTGTGTTTCCACAGAATCATTAAGAGCCGGTCCCGTCAGCGAAACTTCCAGCTGCTCATCATCACTCACGATGAGGACTTTGTGGAGCTGCTGGGGCGCTCCAGCTACATAGAAAACTTTTACAGAATCCGCAAAAACCAGGATCCAAAACTCTGAGATCACAAAGTGCAGCATCTCTTCACTGTCCTCCTATCTACACTGAACACACTGCACAGACAGCTTTTGATTGTAGATGAAGTAATGGTGTATTTACTCATAGAAGCCAGACATCTTTCATTCTGGTTTATTTCATATTAACATTAGGAAACACGGTTAGTATTTTCTCGGTCATTAACAGGGATGCAAAAATGTATGTGTTACCTTTATGTTTGTTTCAATGCATTTCGACTCTATTACTATGCCATTACTATGTTAAGATGCACTGTTATGGAGAGGTATGGTACTAGATTTACATTCTGAATAGTCCCCATACATAAAATAGGATATCATTACATTGATCCACAAAACCCTCTAATTTGTCTTATACATTTTACCCCTTTGTTTATGGCGATGATCTCACTGTGCCTTTAAGATAAAAATAGATATAAATATGTAATGATTAAATATTAAGCAGCCTTACAGTGTCAAAAAGAAGAGCAAACAACTATATATGAAGGATTGAATCAATGTTAAAATGACGAAGATGCAATTTATAATGGACAAATAGTTTAATGAGAATGATTCAGGCTTAACTACTGAATTAATACTGCTGTCTTAAACTCTTACCTAAGTAGTAAACTATTTGTTCTTTGTGAATTAAGTTTTTGTTAATGCTTGATTAAGACTACATAAGATCTAAATATTATAAAGTGGTACCAAAGTGTTTTCTGTTTCTTATTTTACATTTGCATTGTGCACAATTGCTGTTATGTTTAATACTGCAATAAATGAGCTGTGGCTTATTCACACATCTCTTGCCATCTTTATTCAAACATGTATTTTACTTCGAGGGAGCTTGATTCACAGAAGCATATCTCACGCTTGGTTTTGTGACCACATTTTATCGGTCGTGTTGATCAGTTTTGTCTGATGCGTGGAAAAAAAAAATGCAATGAAAAGCTGTGGGTAGTTTCTGGTATAAAAGTCTGACTTTCTGACAGCTTAGAGCAAGTTGAATATTGGCATTTGAACCGTTCAGATCAAAATTTCCAAAATGAAGACGTCTTTGTATTTGCTGGCATGTTGGGTTGTTGCTCTATGGGTCAGTATGGCCATCGCTGCTCCCCATGTGGCCTCTCATCAACACAAATCTCGCTCCACATTTGATCCATATCTCAAGGCAATATTTGATACCATTGAGAAATACAACGAAACAATCTATAACGCAAAACTGACGAATAACGTAAGGCCGATTCTGGTTGCTGCACTTTGTAACTGAAGATTAGCTTTTTTATGTGTATTTATGTTGTTTTTCTTTTGTAGGATGCAGACGTGGAGTTTGTGGAAAGTGCCCGTGATTTTGCTCAAGGACCTGGTCGATGTGGGGTGAGTATTTTATTCATTTGGTTCAATATATTTTAGTTGATTTATTTGCACTGTTATTTTTTTTATTGGCTTTGTATGAGTTAGAATTATTATGAAATATTCTGGGCTCACTTTCATTTAAAAAGAAATATATTCATGTTTAAGACACATTTTAGAGAACAGAGATAAATAAATGATCCATCTTTAAACCTTCCTTTTAAAATATTGTGTTCTTATGTTCTAGAGTAGTACTGATATTTCTACAGTATGTTTTTACTGGTAGTGCACCCTGTTAGTAAGGTGTTCACAAACCTATGTACAAAGTAAAGTGCAGTGTTAGCCAGCGTTGGAAGGGCATCTGAGGTAAACCCTAGCCTAAACCACATCATTTAAGAAGTTGGTACACAGTAGAAGGCAGATAACATGCAGGGTTTGAGATCATGCTTTTAAGTGGTTGCTTGATATTTCAGGAACTTTGGGCCTTAGGCAGAAGAAACCAACTATTAATATGACCAACTATTATTTTAGCACATAGTGAAAGTACCTGAAAAATTGTTGATGTAACTATATTGAAAATCACATCTTGCGTCTTTTCACTTTCAGGATAAGTTCTTTTGTGCGGTATATGGCATCCTTTACAAGCACCGTAATTCTACACAATACAGTGAACACAAGACTCTTATGAAAAACCTGGAAAATTTCCTTAAACACCAAGACGTAAGTAATGCAATGTTCTACACACAACTAAGGTTTGAGAGCATTCATGGTGGACAACAAAATGTATTCATTTAATTCTCTTCTGTTTTTATTTAGGTTAATTGCTCTAAGGTTATGAAGAATCCACTAAATGCTACTGTGTGGGTGAAGATGCCTGAGTTTCTGTCCGATATTAAAACATGTGTGAACTGCCGCATTCTAAACGCTACCTCAACAAGCTGTTAAGAACATTAGCAGCCAGCCGCATAAGCAATGTTTACTTTTGTGTGTTGTTTTTTAATAGCTCCTTATTTATTCTAACTATTTAACTTGACTTTAATTATTCCACTTGAATTATTATTTTTTTTTATTTTAATTCTGGCTGAAGATAATAAATATGTTTGCATGCAGAATCTAGTTGTTTATTGCCTTTCATCTATATTTTAATTTTGTTTTTAAATTGTTTGGGGGGCATCAAAAACAAGACTTGCATTTACCACCAGATGCCACCAAAAGCTAATAAATGTAAAAGCTATAAGATTTTATCATAGGCCTACTGATCCTGAATCAAGATACTGATTTCCTCCTCCACCAGCTGTAATAAAATCATTCTCCTGAGTGCGGGCGACTCTCAGGCGTGCTGAAGCAAGTGCAAAGCAGTGGTTTTGCTGTACTTAACCTAAGTACATTATAAAGTGGATACTTTTTACTTTTCACTTCACTTACTACATTTGAGGGCATTTATTTGTACTTTCTAGATTTGTACTTACTAGCTGCTGAAAGTCCTGAGTGTTTTAAACACATCTGTAGTGTGAGCAAACACAAATATACAGAAAAAAAAAAAACTAGCAATGCAATTGTTCCTACTGAACAAGTCAGCACAAATCAGTATCAAAATCACTACATTTGTAGCTTTATTAGATCTCAAAATATTTAATTAATAATTTTATTATTTACTCATAAGGGGTTACTTTTGTCTCATTAATATTCACAAATACACAAATGGTGATCTACAAATAGTCATTGATTTGTACATGTGTTTTGATATTCATAAATGCAAATTTCGTATTTGTAACTTGTAACTTTACAAATAGATGTGTATTTGTAAATATTTCTTTTTTCATTTGCAAAATAAAATTATTTTATTTGTAAAACAAAAAATTCAGTTTGTAAAATGTGATTCGCACTTGTGGATCATCAATTACACGAATCCACCGATTTCCGGAATGACGTAATTTTGAGACATTCATACATAAAATATATTGTGTGTATTTTATATTCAGAATACGAATTGAAACGTTACGACGTCAAGAATTACAATCACAAAATGAAAATTTACGATTACGCTTTCATCAGTACGAATACGAATTCACAGACGGGACTTTACTGTCAAAAATGCGTCATCACTTCACAGATATTTATCGAGCAGAAGAAACATCGATCAAGATCAAGACTGCGCATGCTTAAGTTTGTAGGGTAAAATGGAGTAATGGCTTTCGTGGCAAACTCATTTTGAGAAATCCACAAACAGATCCACAAATACAGACACGTACTTGACCAGCAGGGGGCAGCAGCTGGCACATGAAACATTTGACACTGCCAAAATAGAAGCGTCTCTTGCTAACTTCACTTCACTTCACGTCACTTAGACTAATGTTTACTATTATCAAACGCCTCAACAGCGAAGGACTAAACCAGAACTGAACCAGGACTAAACCAGAACTGAACCAGGACTGAACCAGGACTAAACCAGAACTGAACCAAAACTGAGTGTCTGAACGACCCAGAAAAGAAGTTCTCAAAGTGAGCGTCTCAAAATTACGTCATAGCGTAAATCGGTGGATTCATGTAACTGGTGAACTACAAATGCGAATCACATTTTACAAACAGAATTTTTAGTTTTACAAATGAAATAATTTTTTTGCAAATGAAAAAATATATATTTATAAATACATCTATCTGTAAATACCAACATACAAGTTACAAATATTAAATTTGCATTTGTGAATATCAAAACACATGTACAAACCAGTGAATATTTGTAGATCACCATCAATGTATTTGTGAATATAAATTTTAATCAGACAAAAGTAACCCCATATACATAATCATATGCAAATAGCATGTAGGTCTCCAAAATCTCCAAATATAGGCGCCAAAATGTCCACAAACATGGATGTTCAGGCATAGCACAGACATAAGCGTTCTGCCCGCGGCGCACGCGTGCGGCGCTGCTGTTGTCAAGTGCATCTTCTGAGTGATGCACGCTCTCTGCAAGGGGTCAGCCTTATCATCAGAAGACCCTCTAGTCAGAAGGCCCTCTAGTCAGAAAATCCATGTTCAGGTAGTGTTTTCAGTATACCACAGATCTTGTAGGATATTTTCCAAATTTTCACTCAAAGTTCATAAAGACATACATTTTATGCGAACAAATGGGCTATTATATCGCTTCCGGGTTTTGTGGGCGGGGTTTGTCTTATCAGCTTGTGAGCTGTAAGCTCAAACTGAGCTTATGCGATCACCCATTGTCCGGCATCCATCCGTCTGTCTGTCCGTTAACCACGGCTGGACAAATCTAGACTGTTTGACTTACAGAGTCCATATGAATGTCTTTAGATACCTTAGGGTAAAATAGCTCTTTCCAATTCTTGAATTATGTCACAGTGACCTATTTTCTGACTAGTGGGCCTTCTCACTACAGGGTCTTCTGACTAGTGGGCTTTCTGACTAGGGGGCCTTCTGATGATAAGGGTGTAACCCTCTGCAAACTTTACAAACCTTGGCTGCGATCAAAAACTTGAATCTGAGAATTTCAATCGACGATTTCTGGATAAAAGAGGCACAACTCCAACTCCTTTGACTGAACACCTTCTGCATCGGACTACGAGACATTTCTGAGGAAAACCTGAGGTTTGTCACTTTCCTGATTCATAGTCATTACGGGTTTTCATCATGTTACTCAAAAAGCAATCATTAGTTAAGCTAATGCCCATTTATTGATGTCTAGGTCATGTTTATGGTATATTTATTTCAAGAAATGTGAGCTCTTGTGCTTCTGATCTCCTAAATAGCTGCTGTAGGTGTCATGGTTTTCCCGTGATTCCACCTAGATTGAGTTAGGTTCCAGCGGTCACTTAACTGACCATTGACTCCAGCTAGAGCCTAATAATAGGGTGACTATGGTGAGACGATACATGTAGAAAAGCAACCTTAGCAAATGAAACATGTAGTTGAGGCACTAGACTCCTGGAGGGCTCCTGCTGATTTTATTGGAACATTGTTGTTAAGCATACAGGCCTTTTCTCAAATGTTTCAGTCTAAAATTATTTTTTAAAGATACACCTGATTTTCTTGGACTTGGAATAAGATTGCACATCACCTCACAATCCCTACAGTCCACTGTATTTTTCCATTAAAATTAGCCCATATCCAGAATTTAGATCCCAAATCCTACTAAGTATACTGACAAGTCTTGAATTTTCAATAGAATTTCCTTGTGCTTTTTAGCATTGTTACCTGTGAAACATATTTTAGCATTGTTACCTGTGAAACACAGGTTGACAATATAAATGGTATAACTTACATGACAAGTTCCACATGTCAAATGAAAGCAAATGTTGAGCTAAATTAAAGATGCACCATTTCTTGAATAGTACTGTTAGGTTTATCTAGACATTTAAAAACAAGAAGAAAGACAAGATATTAATTCAGTTTTACTCATGAGGAGAACGGGCAGAGAGTGGGCATCAAAACCAACAGTCTCCACATGTTCTGATGCCTCAAGGCCGCTCTCCTCCTTTTATTTCATTAGGAGGCCCTAGTTACAGAATGATAATTCTCAAGGGGAAGGGGGAATCAGCAAAGACATAATAAGAAACTGATGCAGCTAAGCATAGTATAAACACATAAAACATGATTAACAATCAGGAGGTGCCGTAGGTATGGACAGACACCATCATAACTCTTCATGTGTGACAGTGGGAGTTGGCTTCATGTGAGGAATCATCTCGAGGTTCACAAGAGCGATAGGTCACTGCACACAGTTGTCAAACACAAAGAGGTTATTCATATTCATACAAGTGATTGGTACATTATAAATCAAAGAATTGTAGTACATAAATGGTTAACTCATAGGCCTAGAATATCACACAAGTATTTAGCAAATATGGGATAATAGAATTATTCTGACAAGTACCAAAATGAATGGGTATGTTCATAGATTGGGTTAAGTGATCTCCAGTCAGTTGTCAATTGGGGGTCTTAGAAGTTGTCTATACAGCAAACAAAAAGGAGTTTAAAGTCATATTTATTTAAGTTTAATAATAACTACTTTTAATATGTTATAAGATTACAGTTATTATATATGAAATATACCAAAAAAACAAAAACATTACATCTATTAGGTCAGTTCAGTAATCTTTGAACATTCCAAATAAGGATGCTAGCTGCTAACACTGTGTCCTTGTCAAGGGTTTTCTCGCAGATTTCACCACTCGTCTGTAAGCTGGAGAGCTGTACACTGCATTATTACCCACTGTACTTCAGACAACACAGTTAACCCTGAGATAGGACCACGTGAAATGAAAATACAAAGAGATGAGTTAAAACTTGAATACCTCAGAAGTGGAATTAGATATGAAAAAATCCTTCAGTATGTTTCATCAAAATCTTGTTAAATACAAGACTGTAAAGTTTGGAATATGTAGGTGCTACTTTAAGGTAGAGATGCACCGAACCAGCTTTTTCAGTCCCGATACTGCTCTCGATACATTTACTGTAAGTATTGGCCGAAAATCTATATTAACCAATACTAGTGTAGGGAAGGAAAATGGCACTTATTTCCTTAAAACATTTAATTCATTTCACAAGAAAGACAACTGTGTATTGTAACACCATCCTTCAAATCATGATTGAACAACTCCATTTGAATAAAAGATCAAAACATTCTGATAGATTCTAGGCCAAAATGTGCCTGTAAATGGTCTAAGTAAATCCGCTGGAAGGTCAACCAGCATATCGACTTGACCAATATCATGAACCAATATCTGATCCAGTAACTTTTTCAATATTTGATCTGTATTTCAATGTTGAATAACTGATTGAATAAATATGAAATAATCTTTGCGTGCACAGAGGCGCCGTGAAAAGTAACCTTGGGGAAAAGCGGAGCCCATAACTATCTGACCTGATATTAAGAACATTACTAAGGAAGTTTCCCCATATGGCTTTGTGAAGAAATATTAACCAATGCTGTTTTCTACAAATTGCCAGTCATGTTCAGGCAGCTAAACCATAAAGAGGGCAGTGATGAGTGATTGTCATTGGTGATAACCCTCAGTGATCCATGATGCACAGAGTCCAGGTTGTGCAGAGTGCATGACCAAACATGCATGAAGTATCACCATAGTCCAGA